CTACCAGTGGAATGTTTACCTTCAATGAACAAACTCAAACGCGCGCACAAACACATGAAGGTGTGCTCCATGCATGGACAATCCTTGCATGTGCAAACATACAGGTGTTTCCAGCCCCTCTTTCACATGTATGTCATTGCCACCGAAACACTTCGACGTGTTGCCACGGCATTGTCGCGTCCTCGCACACAACGAATCCCAGAAACCACTGGTTGGCGTGTCATACAATACACAATGAGCGTCGTGTCTTCGGCACTTTGCAGTCAGTTCGCTTGCATGTACCGTCCAGCATCAAAGCACAAGGTCAATGCATCCTGCAGCAAAATCGATTGCAACCGCCGCGCGTGAACTCGTTGCGGTACGTGTGCCCAGACACGGCATCGTTCGTGCATTGCCACGTCGCATGCAGTTGCTGTTCCTCCACCATTTTGCCAGCGGCTGCAGTGGCCGGCTGATGCGTCCTGTTCTGGATGCGCTCATCCACACCACGCTGCAAGCGGTGCACATCGCGCACATGTAGTCGTATGCCAGTGAATGAGTGTGCTCTTTGCCACGCTTGCACGTCACAGAATGCAGTGCAATTACATTGGCTGCGTGCGCTGTTCTCGTTCACAAGCACGTCCCCACAACCACGCCGCACCACAGCCACGCCGTGTTCACGCAGTATCTCTCCCGTCTCAGGCGTGCCGCCGCAGGCTGTCTCATTGCACGGTGGGGCTCTGCCCTGGTGCAGCGTACAACACACACGCACAGTTGATGCCATGCTGTCCAGCACCTCCTCTGATCCAGCAAATCGTGATCCACAATCAAACGCCATGCGCAGCATCGATGCTGGATACTGGCATATTGCTGTTGCAAAGCGTTGTCACCTGCCAGTCGTACCACAGCTGCTTGTCCACAAACGCCTGTTGCAGGAAGAATGGCGGATCATGCGGCGAATCATGCGGGGTATCATGTGGCGAATCAAGCGGCGAAGAATACGTTGCCATCCGTCCCCCGCGCACAAACACGTGCATGCCCTCGTGAAGCAGCTGCAACGTATGCGAGGATGCCACCAATGCAACGTCCGCAAACGCCCGCATCGCCTCTGCGCGGTGAAGAGGGGTGATTGTGCGCTGTGTTGCCGTCTATCGCGGCCAGCAACGTTCCACACACAGACGACGGCTCCTCTTGCCTGGCGCACAGACAGCGCGTCAATCGTCCAGTCCCAGCTTCGGATAGCCACGTTGCAGTTGCTGCTCTCCTCCCGCAGCGTCAGCACCAAGGTGCGTGTTGGCCAACAGCCACCACATGCTGCTCTGTTCCAGCGTGTGCGTGCAGCATAGATCGTCACGCATGCACGCATCGAGCACGACGTGTATGAGCTCGAGAGAGCTGCTGAGTGAGTTGGCTGTGGATGGTGGTGTCATTACAAAAGCACTCGCGCTGCAAGAGAGCACTGAGAGTAATGGTCGCAGGAAGGTGCACGCACAGTGAACGTGAGATCGCTGCACTGCACAGTTCAGTTGTGTGCACGCATGTCTGAGAGAAAGCATGGCGACAAGAGAAAGGGCAACAAAACACGCTGCGCACTGTTCTCACATGGTGGTTGCATCCACTGCCAAGCCAGTGCAGCGCGAAGAAAGGTTGCCGTCCATGATGATGACGATGAAGGAAAGGGAAGTGAGCTGTGGCCTTGCACGGAGTGCAGAAAAGAGATGTCGCTACACTGCGCAAGTTGCCTTCACGGTTGTTGCTGCTGCTGCTGTCAGCATGCGTCCTTGAGTGTGCCACTGCCAGTGGCTGTCATCATTCGGAAGTATGGAAGTAAACGATGAGGTGGAAGAAGGTAGCAGCTGCAGCACACATTTGGAATCACGCCGTGGTTCGCTGTCTGTGCGGGTGATGATGATGGGAGCAGCAGGAACTGATGTGGTGTGCAGTGTGGAAGCGACAGTGCTGTTGTTGATCCACAACCAGCCCAAGCCAACGTGCGCGACAGCACAAAGCACAACAAACAAACCCCACTTCATGTTTTCTATTCTGCAGTCTGGCCAACTTGCGTGTGTTGCCAAAAGTACCAGTTTTTTCTTTCTCTTGCAAAGCAAATCATCGCAGGGCAATTCCAAGTGAGGAAGGAAAGTGTTTGCGCAGAAGGAAACAAAGCCAGCAAAACTGGGAATCCTTTCCTTCCCTGGTGTATTGTGTTGTTATTCTCTTGTGTGCTTTTTCTTTCTTCCACCTTCCTTGCTTCCATTCCCTGTCCTTCCTTTGGTGACATGCCGCAACCACCTCCTCCTCCTCTCCCAGCTCCTGCTGCTGCTGCTGCTGCTGCTGCTGCTGCTGCTGCTGCTGCTGCAGTTTCCACCACTGCTGTTGTTGTTGTTGTTGTTGGCAGGCTTCTCGGTGACTCGTGTCCATGGCATCATGGCTGCTTGATGACTCGTGTCCATGGCAGCGGCTGCTTGAAGGATGCCGTGAGTGAGCGAGTGTGTGTGTGTGAGTGAGTGTGTGTGTGTGTGTGTGTGAGTGAGTGTGTAAGTGTGTATGCTCTTGTTGTCCTCGCGTCTTGCTTCTTTGCCACGATGTGCCTTTTGCTCTGTTCACGGTTGCACTTGCAGCTGCCACTGACTCACACCTCCACACCACCACCTCTTCACCTCTCCACGTCCGTTTCACAACGCCAAGGACCGCATGCTGTCCCCCTCCGTGGACACAACATTGAAGCAACTGGAAACCACGCTCAAGGAGCATCGCGTGCTGTTCGCCACGGGACAGTTGCGTCCACGAAGCACTCCTTCCACCACGATTGACCTGTCATCGATCCAACGCATGATGAACGCCTTCTCTTTGGCTGCAACAGCAACGGTGTTGAAGAGGGAAACCAGCACCCATCAAAGGCAGCCCATCTCAACCACACATGGCATCCGCTGCCCTCCTCAAGAGCGCACAACCGCACCCCTCATGCACACGCGTGCGCCGCGCTGATAGCGACGAACAGCATGCTGGCCAGTGCACCCTGCAAAGCATCCTTGATGGCTCGTGCCCTGGAGCTAGCACCAGTGGTGTACTTGACCTCACGGTTTCTGGCCACGAAGCAGTGAACAGCACAACTGACACGAGTACTTTGCAAGCGGCGTCAATGACAGTGAGGCACTTGTCTTTGCAAGGGCACGTTGAAGCAGAGGTGCTTCAGTGGATTGTGAACCATGGCAACTGGACCATGTGTACGACGGTGCGCATCACTGGTGTGCAGTTCCCAGTGTTTCAATTGAGCGTGCTCAACGTTTTTCCCATCCTGGATGCCATCACTATCGAGCACAGCACACTACTCCAGGCAGTTGACACAGGGGGGTTCGAGCATGCGGCACAGCTGTTTGCGCTTCGTTTGCGAAACAACTCCCTTGCATCGGTTCCAAAACTTGCAGGGATGACATCCCTGGTCGAGCTTGATTTGGACCGCAACAAAATTCCGCGCATCCAAGCAGATGCATTCGAGAACCTCACAGCCCTGTGTGAGCTCTTTCTCCACTCCAACAGCATCAACATTCCCACTGGCGCGTTTCATTCACTGAAACACTTGACGTGGCTGGAGCTGGGCGCAAACCCGATTCGGCAGCTAGACGCACACGTGTTTGCTGGCCTAACGCAGCTGCACACATTGAATGTGGGTGGCACCCTCCTGACCTCCCTGCCACCCACCATCTTTCAGACAAACCGCCGATTGAATGACGTCGTTCTCGAAGGGAACCTCCTCACGTCCCTCCCAGGCTCTATCTTTGCTGGGCTAACTTCTCTACGGCACCTGTCCTTAAACAACAACCGCTTGACATCACTGCAGCCAACTCTGTTTCGAGATTCAATCTCCCTGAGCGACTTGAGCCTGAGAGACAACCAATTGACAGCATTGCCCGGTGGATTGCTTGATTCATGCACTCGCCTCGACCAGCTTGAATGTGACAATAACCGTCTCAAGTGTGCTACCGCCCGACCTCTTTGTACACACGCCCAACGTGCGGACGATAAGCTTCAACAACAATCGCCTTCGGCACGTCGACGGGCTGTTTGACACAGAGTTTCCACGCCTCGAGCGCATTGACATGGCGGCGAACGAACTGACCCAGTTTCTCATTCCCAACCCATGGCCTTCCCTGCACACCCTCGTCCTGGGCGACAATCCCATGCAATACATGCCAGACATGACGAAAGCGCCTGCTCTTCGTGTGCTGCGCATGCAGAACCACGGTGTCAAAAGGATCGATCTTACACCGCTTCTGACTCTTCCAAATCTGACAACTGTCGAGCTGGACGCAGCGCATGATGACGACAGAACCAGCAGAGCAGTGTTGGACGCCACCAACTTGACACCTTCTCCACACCTGCGCACCCTCAGCTTGCAACACGTGGACGTGAGTGAGGTGCTTGGCCACCTGCTGCAACTGCCACTTCAGCTTCGAGTGATTGGACTGGGATGGCCAGGCGCCGACAACCGCACTTTGCCATTGGAAATGGTATGCAATGTACTGGCAGACGAGGTGGACGTGTTTCGCCTCGTCAACACACGGCACACGAGGTTGCATCTCTGTGCGAACAAAACCTTCCAAACTGTTCAGATCCAACGCAACGAGCACCTCAAGCTGGTCATCGTCCCCAGTGCGCTGAGAGAGCTGAACGCGTCCGATTGCACGCAGTTAACTCAGATTGACGCGCCGTTCATCGATGTGTTGGACATCAGCAACACACGCATTCAGCCCAGCACTGCCTTGTGCACGCGGTGGGGCCGCCGTGTTTTCTTTGCGCGGAACCTGAGGGCCGAGAGCAACTTCAACTCGGCGTCTGCTCCGGCTACCATTTCCACATGCCTGTTTCTCCTTGATGTGGTTGATCTCTCGGGGAACAAGTGGCTGAATGACCCCGTCGAAGTCAACCGAATCGTGGGACACGAGATCGCCCTATCCGAATCAAATCTCCGCCGCAACGGACGAGTTTTTCCTCGCAGGCCTCGAGCGCCAGTGCTGCAACTGCAAGACGCTCCCATCGATTGCGCGCTTCAACTCTCGAGCGGAGACTTTGATCTTTTCGATAACACGATCCCTGGGCTAGTTGGTTCAGTCACTGAGATTGTGTACTCCTTTCATTGCCAGTGCTCACAAGGGCATGAGATGCGACGCGAGCGGTGCGAACCAATTGAGCTCGACATTGTGCCGGCTGTGCTGGGGACGCTCGCTGGCGTGCTTGCACTGCAAGCGTTGCTGTTCATCGGGTACCGCACGTACAAGAGGCAAAGGCGTTTACAAGCAGACAACGCGCTCAAGGACCAATTGCTGGTAGAGATGGACGAGGAGGTGATGGCGCTGAAGAAGGCGTGGGAGATTGGGTATGATGAGCTGAAAATGATGAAGCGAGTTACTGCGGGCGCATTTGGCGTGGTGTTCAAGGCAGAGTGGGACACAGTGACGGTGGCCGTCAAGGTGCTGCAGCAAGCCGTCATGGCATTTGGTGAGAGCACGGTGTTGGAATTTGAGAAGGAGGTGGAGTTCCTGCAGCGGACACGGCACCCGAATGTGGTGCGGTTCTTTGGTGCGGGGACAGATCCCAACGGCAGCCCGTTCCTGGTGCTGGAGTTTGTGGCGATGGGGTCCCTTAAAGATTTGTTGGGGAAGGACGTGGAGCAAGCGTTAACGGAGGTGGAGCAACGGAAGCAAAGTGGTGAAGAAAGTCTGGGGCAGGGTGTGACAGCATCAGAGATCGTGGGTGAGGAATTGACGTTGGTGAGCACAGGACGCGACAGAAGGCCTGGTTTGATGACTGTGTGGGGTCTGAAGCTGCGACTACTGCGCGATGTTGCCAGTGGGATGGCCTTTATCCACAGCCTCGACCAGATGCACCGGTGAGTATGTGTGTGTGTGTGTGTGAGTATGTGTGTGTGCGTGTGTGAGTATGTGTGAGTATGTGTGTGTGCGTGTGTGAGTATGTGTGTGTGTGTGTGTGTGTGTGTGTGTGTGTGTGTGTGTGTGTGTGCGCGTGTGTGTGTGTGTGTGCGTGTGTGTGTGTGCGTGTTTATGTTTGTGTATGTTTGTGAACGTGTGAGTGTGTGTGAGTGCTTGAAGCTGCGTATACATGCTTGCATGCGGGTACGTACTCTTGCCCACCGCACCATCCTACCCTCACCCCAACTACACCCAAACAGAGACCTGAAGAGCGGCAACGTGCTGGTGTCTGCTTCCCTTCGCGCCAAGATTACGGACTTTGGGTCCATTCGCCAGTGCTTCACACGTGACAGAAATCAGCAGCAAAGGATACGCCTGTCCTCAAGCCATGATGATTACCCTCAGTACAGCCAGCAGGCTGGGCTGCAGACGATGACCAGCATGACACTGACGGCTGGTGTGGGCACGCCACTGTACATGGCACCAGAGGCACTGACGGGCGACAAGTACAGCTTCGAGGCAGACGTGTTTAGCTTTGGCGTGCTGATGTGGGAGGTGGGGACGCAGCGACAACCTGATCTGATCGAGCAGGAGAAGGGGAGTGGGTATCGGGGACCAATCCTCGCCACCATCAGCAACTTGATGGCGGAAGGGAAGCGGTTGCGGTTTGAAGACAGTGAGGGTGAGTTGTGTGTGTGCGTGTGTGTGTGTGTGTGTGTGTGTGTGTGTGTGTGTGTGTGTGTGTGTGAATGAGTGTGTGTGCACTCGCTTCCTCTTCTTGTGTACGCATGAGTGAACGTGTCTTCAGCATGCATGTATTGCGGGGTTTGGAACGACGCAAAGTGCAAGCAATAAACCAACACCAACGCAAAGACAAACCATCACAACCCATCAAATTCAAGACATGTCACGTCACATCTCATTCTGTGATGGTCGGCAACGGTGTTCTGCACGTGCTGCGCTGCATCTCCTTCTTCAGCGCATGCAGCACACCCTGCCACTGCACGCTGCAGCCACCGCTTGAAAAAAGCGTCGCACATCTGTCCTCCTCTCCTCCTGCATCAGTCACGCAGCAGCTGGAACTCAACATCTGCGCAATCCGACATGAGCGCAATCAGCAGGTTCAGCAGCACCATGGAGATGACACACAGGATGCGCAGCAGCCAGCACCGCCACTGTAGTCGCCGTCAAAGGGATCCACAGGTCAAAGTCCGCCAGCAGCATGTTGTTGAACACGAGCAGCAAGGCCGTTGGCCGACAGTGTGTTGTCGTTGAGCAGCAGCCGGAACGACGTCCACCCAGCCAAATTGCTGATGCCGAGGACGAGCAGAGCAGGAAGTAGCGCATGTCGAAGCAGATGGGCCAGGATCATGCCCTGGCTGGAACGGCTGCAGGTGGTACAGCAGTGGAAGGAACGTGTGTGCGTGCTGGGAAAGAGTGCGTGCTGGGAAGGGTGTGTGCTGGGAAGGGTGCGTGCTGGGAAGAGCACGTGCCACGCACCACAAACACCAACACCACATCCATCACTTCCAACCAGCGGCGACTGCCGTACCTCCTGCACCATGTCCACAACCAGCCAGCACACCCAGCACCAGCATGATCACCACCGACTTGTTGTCGTCGGCTGCACCCAGCAGCAGCTGTGCCACGTCGTTGCCACTGATGAGGACGACGGTGAGCATGTACCACGCCAGTGCTGACGCGTACAATGAAGCTGCCAAACAGTTCCGCTTCGTCCGTCGACTGAAAACCGTCATTCACAAAACCACCTGCACGCGCCAGTGGCACCACGCGCGCCCCAGCGTCCTCAAGCTTGGCCAGCTCACCAGATGACTTCAGCAGGTTGTGCCAAAACGCACGGCTGCGCATCTCGCTGATGAATGTCCTGTCTGGCCCAGTGAGACAATCATGCCCGCTGCTGGTGGTTGTACTGCTTGTCGGCGGTGGACGCTGCAAGCGCAAGCCCACTTGTAAACGTGCACACCAGCAGAATGATGTCTGCTACGAGTGTGTGCGTCAGGGACGACGCGCAGTGACCAGGGCTTCGCTATCAGGGCTTGTTACCCTCCGAGGTTGAAGAAGGTTATGGCGGCCTCACACACCTTGTCCACGACGCACTGCTCTGTGTTGCAGTAGAGCTAAGGCACAGAGCGCGGAGTGCGGGCGCGTGGCTGGCATTGCTGGCCGCAAACGACAACAGAGACAGCGGCGTGTCTGTCTCGGCATCCTCCACGGCAGTGCTCACGGTGGCAGGGAACATGCACAGGGCTCGCTGCAGCTCAGCAACGCTGCCCACGTCAATTCGACGGGAGGTGATTGGCAGCTCAGGGCACAGCCTCGGCGTGGTGGGTAACAAGGGCAACGGCGCCAGGCATCGTGCCTTGGGTCAACCTAGATGGCCAACAGGGCGGATTGTGACGGCCGTTATGGTGTTGCCCATGTTGAAGCTTGTGAGTACACAATACGCAGCCGGCACCGCGAAGCTCGGCCATACAGGAGCACGTGCTTGGCGTCGCGTGTCCAAGTGGCTGACTCGAAGCTTGCACTGGCCGGCGTGGTGCTGCGTGATGGGCTGCCAGCCTCGCATGCTCCACAGCACAATAACAACACATGTCATGTTCCACTGCTCCAGGATGTGCGTGGTCGGGACGCGCTCGCCATCCGAGCTGGTGCACACCCCCGCTGTTGCCGCTAATCGATCGTGCTGGCCACCAAACGGAGGGCGGCCGAGCGGCCACACGACAAGGGCTTGTCCAGATCTCAAGCACTTTGCGCCACCGTATTCGCCAGCGACCAGGAACACACTGCTGCAAGAGGTGTGTGGATCAGGGACACGAGCGACGACGAGGAGGAGGAGGAGGAGGAGGTCAGGATGTACGCTGCCAAAACACAGGCCTCCGGCAAAAGCAGGAGCTGCTCCCCGCTCGCAGACATGCTGATGGTGCCGATGAAGCCATCGCCCTCGCCAAAATGATGCCACAGGAGCACAGGAGAAGGTGACGAAGTGGCGGCTGCTGCGATGGATTGGATCTCCGAGACGTGGACGCTGGTGATTTGGCGGATCGCGTGCACTCCGTTGTCGGCGTCACTGGACAGGTGGCCACTCGCCACGACCAGTCGATGGCTGCTTCCGCAAAGCCGCGAAGCCACAAACGTCAGCGGAGTCGTTCAAGGAGGCAACGGCAGCGCACGCGTTGCTGTGTCCACCACCTGCACCACACGGCCCAGATGAACGTTGTAGTAGATGTGGCGCACGGTCGCACGCGATAGGGTGCATGGCCAGAAAACACATCCAGCAAGCAGGTTGTCCTTGATCATCAGAACGACGTGCGCGGACTCTATGTCGATGCCGTCGCCAACCATCGCCACCACGTCGTCCTTTCGCCTCCATCTCCTGCACGCTGCTGCAAACACGTCGTCGATGCCAACCTCTGTCTCCAATAGATCGCGCAGTACCCTCCTTGTCGCCCGTGAGCATGACCAGGCGCAGGCCGTGCGGGCGCAGCAGGCGCACCGCTCTCTTCGCCTTTGGGGCTTGCACGTGTCAGCGAGACCCCACGTAATCCAGGCAGAAGCTTGTCGTCTGCCGAGCACGCAACAACCGTGTAGCCACGTGTCTCCTCGTCTTCGTGCATCGTCTGCCGCTATTTGCCGCTGATGGCGTGGGATTGCCAACATCACAATGGGCATGCCAATGACAATGTGCATGCCATACCATCCACGGTTGCCGAGATACTGCGACCAGATACCGTCTTGGAGTCGGTTGCGGGAGACAGCGCCGCCGTGCGCCACAATCGCCTGGCCCAGGGGCATGTTCGCTGTTTGCCTCTGCAGCCGCCACCAGCTTCAACGGGGTGCCGTCCTCCGTCCACGTGTCATCATCGCCGAGCACGTGCACACATGACTTTTGGCGATCCAACCGTCAGCGTTCTCATCTTGTCAAGCACGGCCTGTGAGCAGGGGGGGGGGGGATTGAGCGGGAGAGAGAGAGTGTGTGTGTGAATGTGTGTGTATGTGTGTGGGCATGGAGGTGTGAGTGAGTGAGTGTGTTAGTGTTCTCTAACCACGACTCGCGAGCACCAGTACGAGGCACCACACACACACACACACAGACACACAGACACACAGACACACAGACACACACACACACACACAGATACACACACACACACAAACACACACACACACACACACACACACACACACACCAGTTGAACGTCGCCTTCGTCAGACCAATGTGTCAGCGGCACCCGAGGTCAGCGGCGCAACCCACACACCAACAGCAGCACGATGCCTGACACAAAGCGCCCCGCCAGCTTGTCTGGGAAAGAACAAGGAGGGAAAGGAAAGGGGAGGTTGTGCGGGTACGTGTGAGAGTGGAAACGTCTGCAGAAACAGTGACAGGCACGTGTGAAAGGGGGGTTTTAGCGTGTTGTATCCAGTACACACACCTGCTGGATGGGCGCCTTTGACAGCTGAGCATCCTCACTGCCAATTATCTTGGCCTCAAAGACCATATACCATGGTGCCGCCCGTATGACAATGTCATCAACGCCTTTGAAGACGAGACGAGTGTTTATTCGCCCCGTGATCATGGCCTCGTCCATTTCACCTGCACCCTTCAGCACGCGTCCATCCAATCCACAGGCACGTTGTTGCCAGCCACCATCTGCCAACAAGAACGTGCGGAAGGGTGAGCGAGATGCAACCACAGTGCATTATCGGGCGGCTGCTGCCACAATCTCAGCTGAGGGTTGCAACAACCAACCACCCGCCCATCACCCACCACCACATGTAAGCACCAGCACCAACTCCAACACCCAACCCCCTCATCACGCACCTGCAGTTTGTCGCCGCGCTGCACGAGCTCGGTGTCAATTCGCTCCTCCATGCGATTGCCTTTGACTATATCTTCCTTCATCAGGCTGGAGATGTTGCCTTTGGCGAGGTATTCGATGTACCGCCCGGGCGACACAAAGGTGAAGAGGGAGAATGCCGGTCTGAAGGAAGAGGTCGCCACCACCACCACCAGTCGAAATCCTCGTGGGCGGCGGGTGCAACAATGAGGACCTCCAGGGAGTACAGGTACGCGGCTCTGTGGTGGATTTGTAACAACGCAAGGGCAAGTGCACGTGGATCAGCGACACGGGTGCACGCATGCAAACTTGAGCAAAGAACAAGGCACGTGCAACGCTCTCTCGTTCACTGTAGTGGTGGACTTGAAGAGAACACGCGGACGTATGTAGTCGCAACAAACCATGCATAGACACACACACACACACACACACACACACACACACACACACAAAACATACACAGTGAGGACGTCTAGGCACCACGGATACTAGAAACGGCCGACCGGGAAAATGAAGGAGATCAAACCCAGCAGCATGAGGATGCGACATGTCATCGACGATGCGCGCATCTCAGGAGTCCGGCCACATGTGGCCACGATGATGGACGCGACGAAGAAACACGGTGGCGCACGCGATAAAGGTGATGGGGCAGAAGTGGATCTCGCTCCTGTGGGTGGTGGTGCTTCGTGCTCCAGCTCCGTTGCGTATTCTGAGTTCCTTCAGCGCGCTGCAGTCACAAATGGGTGTTGTGTGAAGTGCATAACACAAGGCATTCTTGTGAGCAAGTGGTGGTGGGTGGCAAGAAGGCGTTGCAGCAAAGACAGACACAGAGTCAGTTGGAGGGATGCGGTTGGAGGGGAGCAGAGAAGAAGCAAGACGAAGCGACATGTACAAGTACAGAAACACCCACACATACACACACGCACGCACGCACGTGTGACCATGTCGCGTAGGTCTCGTGCTTGACTTCCACACGGCCCGACGCGTCATCAACCTGCACCGTTGAACATCGGGCAGGGCCCTTAGCGTCGCCTGTCATGCATGTCCAGCAACAGCAGCAGCAGCAGCAGCAGGAGGGTGAGAGGTTGAAGTGGAAAGCAGGCATGCGTGCACACAAGCAGTCGTGCGTGCATGCAAGCAAAAGAGAACAAGCAGAGATGCAGTGCCGCGCACATCGCATACCGCATGCTGAGGTACGTCATGCCTTGTGCTGGTGTATGCGTTTCTTTGTGGGCCTTTGTATCCGCCGACCTGGCCAATGCTGGCGATGATGGCTGCAGGGCTTCACCAGCGCGGTGCCAGCCAGCAGGCCCACACGACACGTTGCTGTGCATGCCGCGCATGCGCCCTCAATGTTGGGCACGCACGAGGCGCACGACATGCCTGTAGTGCAGCGCAGCGGTAAATGCAGTGTGTACCAGCGAGAAGTGTGTGTGGAATTTGCGGATAGACGGAGATGTGTATATACACACATACACATACACACACACACACACACACACACACACACACACACAGCACACACACACACACACACACACACACACACACACACACACACACACACACACACACACACACACACACACACACACACACACACACACACGCAAGTGCATGCACGCACCCCAGAGTCGTGGGGGGGGGCTGATGCTGTGCTGGGGTGGGGTGATGGCTTTCCGAAGAGTGTCCGCAACAGCATCATGGCGATCGTCGGAAGGCGCCGGTTCTTTCTTCTCAGGTGTGCTCGTAGCTGAAGTGGAGGAGGTTGACACCTCATCAACAGCCTGCTCCTATTCACGCTGCTGTGGCGGTGAGACGATTTCAACGGAGTACCCGCCCCTCGCGGACAATGTCTGCCAGCTCATCGGGTGACACCTCTGCAAGATGTTCGACAGCAACCGTCTTGTGTTCGATCATGGGTGTGGTCTTGATCACCGTTGGCCCGACACACTGCTGCTGTCGCATACGATGGCCGCATTGCCCTGGGCACACGAGCCACATGCCACGGTGGACTTTGCCTGCAGAGCTGCCATGCTTGTTGTTGTGGTGGTGGTGGAGCCAAGTGGCCACATGCAGCAGCAGCAGGTTCACGTTGTTCTTCTGCTCGTCCATCCACGGTCTGGCAGCTGGCCATTCTCAACATCGCGCATGCTTGCAGTTGTCCTGGCGAGGAGCGCGCCATGTTGGTGGGGAGGATTTGGCGCTGCACGCATGCACGCTGGTGCCAACCAGACGGAGGGAGGAAGGACACACTCCTCATTGTACCGGCAGCAGTGGCTGGGGAGTGTCTTGGACAGAGGGGAACCGCTGCATCACGTGCGTGCATCAGGCGCACGTATGCGCGTCCTTGGCTGTGTGTACACTATGTTCACAGAGGCACGAGGCAGCGGGTCGAAGGTGGTGGCGGGAGGACGAGAGCGACACCATGTCAGACACGAGAGGAGGCAGGGTGCTCCAGCACAATGGAAGATGGGCAGATGGGCGTGAGCACGTGTCGTTGGAACAATGTGTGAAGTACGTGTGCGTATGCGTTTGCGCGTGTTGCGCAGATAAGGCTGAGCAATGTAATGCAATGTGATGCAATGGAGTGACCTCACACTCGCACGCACGCACGCACACACCTTTGGATGAACAGTGTATTCTTTCGTCACGATGCCTGCCTCCTTGACATGAGTTCAATTCACGCCCTTCTTTTGCACTGCGTGATGAAGCTGTGGTGGGAGTACAACACAGCAAGACACCGACATTGTGTGCCGTGTGTGCTCTGTCCTTGTTGTTCCAGTGATGAGCTGATGAAGGCAAGGCTGGATGGAAGGAAGGCTGAGGGATGGAAGAGTGGATGGATGGGATGGATGAATGGATGGATGCGTTACAACGTGCTTCCTTTCCACAACAAACACACACCCACAACAGTGAACTTTTGTGTTGTGTGTGGCTGGAAATCCAATGCACGATTCCCAACAATCGTCCACAACCACAACCAGCCAAAACGCCACAAACAACAAACGAACCACACCAACCCTGTCTTCTCTTCTTCTCGTGGTGCTGCGCCTGTCCTGCGAACACACACGCGAACGAGGAAGGAGGAAGGAGGCACTCTTCCCCTCTTCCTTTCTCTTCTCCACCCACTTGGATGGGAGGATGAGAACGATGGGGTGCCTGCAGGCACGTGGGTTGGTGCTGCTCCCCGTGCTACTGGTGGTGGCGGCGGCAGTGTGCTGGATGCCGCTCATCAGCAGCGTTGTTGGAGAGGTGACGCTGGTGGAGGATGATGCGGGCGCGTTTCACATCAACACCAGCGATCCAATGAGCCAGCCCGTGCTTGTGAACGGCGTGAATGTGCACGAGACGCTCAGGACGCTCATGAGTACCGTTTCGGAGCAACTTAGAATCAACGCTGCCCAGCAAAGTACAATCGATGCACAACAGAGCGCAATCAATGCCCAGCAGAGGGCGATCGACCGTGTCCGTGGGGAAGTGTGCACCCCGAGTGCCAGCACGTTTGGGCAGCTCGGCTCGGGCGGAAATAAGTGGCTTGGCGGTGTGCTGGCACACAACGGCCTGATCTATGCCGTACCATACCACTCTCCTTCTGTTCTCATCATCGACCCCAGCAGCCACACCGTCGATACGACCACAATCTCAGGTGTGGGAACGGACTCAAACAAGTGGGCTGGCGCTGTGCTGGCACACAGCGGCCTCATTTACATGTTTGCATCAGACAGAGAGACGATGCTCATCATCGACCCAGACACCAACGCCTTTGACACATCAAGCATGCACTCCCTTGGGGCCGGCGAAAACAAGTGGTTTAGTGGCGTGGTGGCGAGCAATGGCCCCATTTTCGGCATTCCGTACTCTGCCACGTCTGTGTTGATCATTGATCCAGAGACAAACACGACAGACATCACCACGCTGTCCGGGCTGTCGACCCAGCTGTTCAAATGGTATGGCGGTGTTCAGACCGACAACGGCCTCATCTACTGTCTGCCTGTCACAGCTTCCTCCGTCCTCATCATCAACCCAGAGTCACTGACAATGGACCTTACCACCATCAGTGGCTTCAGTACAAACGCAAAGTGGCGAGGCGCCGTGCTTGCAGGCAATGGCCTCATCTACGGCATCCCATTTCGTTTTGCGACGATGCTCGTCGTCAACCCAGCCACCAACGCCACTGGGGAGGTACTTGTCGCGGAGGAAAGCACCTCTGCAAAGTGGATTGGCGGTGTGCTCGCGCCCAATGGCAACGTCATTGGCATCCCGCACGACTCTTCAGCCGTCCTCATCTTCGATCCAAGCACCAACACCACCGATACCACGACCATCAACAATCTTGGCGGGGGCTTCAAGTGGCATGATGGCGTGCTCGCCAACAACGGCGTCGTCTATGGCATCCCACGCGGCGCAGAATCTGTCCTTGTCATTGACCCGGGATGCTAATTGTTGCCGCGCGTGTCTGTGTGCGTGCGAACACTTGCGTGCCGTTTTTGCATCTTTCTTCTTCCTTCCCTCAACCCTGTGACAGCGTCCTGTGTACCTGCCGCTGCTCATCGTTCTTTTACTTCAAATTGAAACAACCTCAACCTCAACCGAGTATGTGCATGCATTGTGATAGTGGAAGAAGCTGTTCCACAACTGTGCAACGCGAAGTGATCATGAGGGGGAAAAGAGACAACACTTCCAGGACAACAAGGCAACCACAGTTCTTCGAATCATCAGCACGCAAGCCAATGAACATTCATCCACGTGACATCAGCATGGGGTTCAACACGGATTTAACCGCACATTTACACACCCCCACCCTCTCTTCCACCCACGCGCTATGCCTTCATTGTTCGGCTCATACACGTGTATCATTTCATTGCATTTTAGTTCACGACAACTGCCACGGTTAAGCTTGTCAGCAACGCGCACACTCAATCAAGACCGAATGCGCTGAGTGCGAGCATGTATCCACTGGCACAAGACACGACAAAGAAGAAAGAAGTTAAGATGGTTCAACAGTCAAATACACACACACGCACCAAACGTGAGCTTGGTTAGCTCCAAGGAATGTGTGAATGACAAACGGCGTGTGCAGTCTTGCACAGCAACACGTTGTGCAGTCTTGCACAGCAACACCAACAAAGAACAGGAAAGAAGGGGGGGGGAGAAGAACAAACACAAAACAGGCCAACACCAAACGAACCCACCTGTCGCTAGCCTAGCTTAGTCGTTCAAGAAGGTACCAGCAGCGACCTGACTGTAGCCAAGGCTGAGACAGATACGTTAGCTGGCGTTGCCAAGAATGTTCTGGTTGTTGTTGTTGGGATTATTGTTGTTGGGGTGGGGGCTGCCTCTGATTCCGTTCACCCCATAGCCGTTGTTCCCAGCGACAGCACCATCACCAGAAACATCGTTGTGGGGTGGCGAAGGTCGTTGTGATTGATCGCCACCGTGACCAGGACCATCACGACCATCATCACCACCATCCTCATCCCCAGCCGTGAGTCGCATGCCCTCACTCCAGCATCTTCCACGTTCGCAGTAGCATCATCTCCACGGTCATCATCACTCTCCCCCTCCCCGACGACTGGCGCGACTAATCCTTCTTCCGCATCCTCCTCGTCCCCGTTCACTTCCCCCTCCACATCAACAGCATCATCGTCAAAGGAGATGATGTACTTCGGGTAGCACATGCCGTTGTCGTAGATGACAAACATCTCCGTATCGCCGTCGAAACCGCAAACGGAATCGTACAACACGCTCCCAGCAGCAGCAGAAGCAGTCATGCATCCACCAGCACTCTCAGCACCACCCGAGGTGCCTTCACTCTCTTCACTCGCGGCAGCTCGGCCAATTCCTTCTCCTTCGTCACCACCATGGCGAGCAGCAGCAGCAGAAACAGCAGTTGCAGCGACATCATCATCAGCAACGCCAACAGCAACGTCATTCGACTGGGGCGCCGACACATCGACATACACGCGCCGCTCGCTGGTGGTGTCGTTCTTGTCTGTTGCGCTGCCCTCGTGGTGGCCATACTTGACAGCAAACGACGGGTCGCGGCTGAAGTACAGGCCTGAGCCAAAGTAGCCCTCCGCACTGGCGTAATTATGGCCAGGCCAAGCTCGCTCTTGCAGATGACGTGCAGCAAGTGGTGCTCAAACACGTTGTAGTCGTCATCGTCGCCAGAGAGCGGCGCAATGTCGTTGGGCAGGCTTGGTGGCGCGGGCCGCCAGTACACGCGGTGCACGCTCTCCAAGTACCGCTTGAACAGCGACACGTTCTGCACACGCTGCATGAGCAGGTTTCGGGGCCGAAGCGGCTCCAACAGCGCGCGCACGCGGCCCAGCTCGCCCTCGTTGGTTACATCAACAAGCAGCTGACCCTCGCGCATGTCCCAGCGGTCAGGAATCTCAAAGATGGCCTGTGGCTTCAGCTTCGACCGCTGCTCGTCCACCACCCGCCGCACGCGCTCAATGTCAGGCGCAGGTCGTTCACGTGCATGCCCACGTGCTCCACTCATGTACACCCAGTGTTCCTGGAAGTCCACCGTGAAGTACCGGTCAACCACTAGATTTTGAAGAAGCACACCAACTTCCGCGCCTTGCGATTCTTGTATTCCAGCCACCGCTGCAGGACATCTGGATCAACCGTCCGGCGCATGTTGCGCTCATCCTCCGCAGCCGCGGTTGCACGCGCATCGGCCACCACGCGGGCGGCGTCTTCCTCACTCATCTTGTAGTGTCCCTTGTGCAGGTACTTGTCGGGGAAGCGCCCGCACGGCTTTGTCATCTCCTTGGGCATCTCGCGCGCAGACGCGAATGGGGAGCAGCGGAGGGCGCCGCAGCCGAGCGCGCACGTGGCGAGCGAGCGGATGTTGTTGTCCCGCGCCGTCGTCAGCAGCGCGCGGAACGCCGTCTTCAGGTCCGCAGCCGTCTGCGTCACCTTGCTGCCAAACTCGGGCACATAGTTTGGCGCAACCACGTACAGCACGTGCTCAATGCTGGACGAGAGGGCCAGCGGACCGGACGTGGTCACGCGCGCCTCGTTGTACCGCAGGGGACCGCTCCTCTCGGCGTTCATGTCGCGGTCGTTGTTGATGCTTCCCTCGCAAATCTCCGCGTGCAGCTGCACCACGGGCAGCGTCTCGCTGATGGTGTGGTACAGGTACAGCTCTACCCCCACACGGCCTGCTTCACCTTGGCCGGGAACAGCCTCTCACATGCTGTCAGCAACACCACTTCCGATGCCGCCGCCATCTCCATGCCCGAGCCTTCAAGCACTGCGTGGGCACTGAGGTCGACAGGCTGTCACCCCTGCCAGAATCATAAGTACCTTGTGCTCGCTGTTGTGATCCCACTCCTGTGTACGCGGTCCGCTCACTCAAGCCAACACCATCGTCGCCAGCAGCAGTGCCAGCAGAATTTGCCGAAGCAGCGCCCGTGCTTGCGGTATAACTGGCATCAGCACCAACGCCTTCTTGCGCAGACGCTTCAGCTCCTTGGCCACGGACACCGGCATCTGGCACACGTAGCGCGTGGGCCGGATGTGGGCAATGGTGCGGAACGTCGACTCCATCGTCGGGATGACCGTCTGCATCACATCGCGCCGGCCAGCCACCATCCACACGTTGCGCTCAGAGGGCGTGCCAATCACGTCCTGCGGCGCAACATAGCTCACCACGCCGTATTTGCTGCGGCACACGGTGCGGCTGGCCTTGGTCAGGTAATTGAACAGCTTGCGCTTCAGGAAGGTGACGTCCGCCTCGGTCATCTCCGGCACGTGCGACGTGTCAATGACCGGCAGCCCGAGCACGTGGCACAGGTGCTCCTTGAGCGTGTCCTGCACCGCGTTGTCAAACGCCGTCAGCTGCCGCTGCATGCCCTCCACCGTCACGCTCACGGGCACGCTTGAGGCGCATGCGTCCCTGCCCTCCGCGCTGGGCTTGCGCACATACACGCGGAACTTTCGGGCCAGCTCAAGCAGCTGCGAGTCCAGGAAGCGGTATTGCATGCCCGTGACGCTGATCGTCGTCTGCGACTTGATGTTGGCGCCGACGGTGCTGTTGATGTAGCTGAGCCCGCGCTCCCTGTCCTGGTCCAGGTAGTAGTACAGCGAGTACTCCAGCAGCATGACGCGGCGCCGTCCAGGTCGCGCGTGTGCATCAGCGCCTACTGGGGTGCCACGGGCGATGCGATGGGCGGGGTGCTGGTGACGGGCGGCGGCAGCACAAACTTCACACATCCCGCATGGCCCCGTGTGCCGTGTCTGCGTAGGGCAGCAGGCCAAGCGTCGGGTAGCGGACCAGCTTGAAGCCGTAGTCGTTCAGCACGTGCTCCATGACCTTGTCGTCGCCCAGCACGCGGTCGCTGCGGGCAAACGGGTGGTAGGCCGGCGCGAGGAAGCTTGCAAGCAGCTTGGCCTGCGACCACACCAGCACGGCGGTGCTGCTCGTGAAGCAGATGCGGTTATTTGTGGTTGCAGCCGCCAGCACATCAAGGTCCTTGGCCACGCTGCTCTTGTTGAACGCCTCGACGAGGTCCGACAGGAGGCCGCTCAGCTTGGGGTCGAGCACAGCCACGTGCACGTCGTTCGGGTAGCACAGGCGCGCCACAAACTTGTGCGAGACAGAGGTGGCAAACTGCCTCCTGCGGACACACGCATGCGCCGCACGCGTGTCTGTTATCTCCAGCACAAACACGCGCTGCAGCGTGGTCTCAGAGGACGTGCCGCTGCTCTTGCTGTCGTCGCTGTCGTCGCTGTCAGCATCGCCGTCTCTCTTGTACTGATGAGGGTCGTGCACAGCATTTGGCATCGCATCAGCATCGTGTGCCTCACTACCACCTTCACACTGCTGCTGTGCTCCTTGTTCTTGTTCTTGTTCAGTTATGCGCGTGCTGGCAAACGGCTGGATGTGGGACAGCGTGTCCTTGAGGGACTGCGGGATGGGAACAAGCTTCGCCGTGTCGCCAAAGTTCGTCTCAACCGCCTGCACAATGTCGCGGCCCGTGGTGGGCTTGCTGTGCGGGGTACAGGTGACGACAATGCGGTGCAGCGGTGCCTGCCGCGCCTCCAGACGACAGGCCCCCGCCGTGTCAATGGGCAGTGGCAGCAGGCTCCGGAACGCCTCCTCGCTGTCGGCAACCACGTCAACGCTTGCACAGCGCATGTCCAGAAAGACCTGCAGCGACTGGAAGTTGACGCCAGCGCGCTCCAGCGTCGCCTGCACGCTGCGGTACGTGTCGGTGGGCCAGGGCATGGCGGCAGTCAAGCCCTTGCGGTCACGCTTCCTGGCTGCCTCGCTCAGGTAGAACGTGATGCGCTTTGCCTGGCCCGCAACAGGCGCCGGCGTGATGGATGTTGGGGACGCAGGGGAGGAGGACGTGGAGTCCTTGCCCTTGCTCTTCCAGTTCTTTGCCTTTGGGTCTGGGAACACGTTGAGCTTCGTGCCCAGCACCTCCCGCTGGTCGTACAGGCGGACCATCAGCTCCGCGCTCTCCCGTGACACAAACCTGTTGCAGGGGGAGTTGGTTGGTTGGTTGAGGACGTGGTTGAGGGAAGCGCACGCATGCTCATGCAGAATGGAGTTGCAGGAGCGTCTGTGCACGTATGCACACACACACACACACACACACACACACACACACACACACTCATCGCCTACCTGAATGTGCCCCTGACGCGGTTACCGTCCGGCTTGTATGTGTGGGAGTGAAAGCCACTGTTTGCCTTGGCGAGCGAGGGCAGCACCTCCTCAAGACCTTCGGGCACGGGCTCAACCCACACGGACCACAGCTCGTCCGCCGTCCAGGCGGGGCAGTCCGGGTCGTGGCGGGCCGTCAGCTGCACCTGCCCAATCGGGAAGTCAGTCATCTCCCTCAGGACGCGCTCGCCAACCTTACGCGTCGCGCAGCTGCACATGTGTGTTACGTGTTTGAATGAGTTGAGGGTGTATCGGTGCGGGATGTAGAGAGGAATTAGACAAGCATGATGAGTACTTGACTGTCGCATCCTCGCATCATTACCCGCCACCACATGTCGTCATTCCCATCATGATCCTCGCATGCAACGAACACCTCCTCAACCGGTTACAATCCCTCAACTTTACCACATTACTACCACACCCATCACCACCACCGAGCAGCAGCTCACCTGACGCGGGCAACCTGCCCCTGCTACTCGTCCAGTGGTGTGATGCTGATGACTCCTTGCTGCTTGCCAAGGAGCGCGCGCACCAGCTCAAGCATGCCCATGTGGTGCACGAGCACGTCAAACGGCCCAAGCGACGCCTCATCACCCTCATCCTTCTCGTCGCCATGTGCCGGTGGTTGTGGTGCTGCTGTTGTGTATGGCTCCAGGTCGCGGCCGACTGGCGGCTGCCGGGTGAATGGTTCGTACCGCTGCGCGTGGTCGTGGGTGATGATGGGTGCCGAGGGGTAAGAAGTGTTGAGAAGGAAAAGAATCGTGCCTTCGGGACCTTACACCCGCCACTGGTGCCCCTTTCCCAAGAGGAAACGAGCTTCTATCAATCCTCTCTCTCTCCCATCCTTCAATCCAACACACGCACGCAAGCGCATGTGCACCTGTATCAGGGCCAAAGAGTCGTTGAGCGGGTCCTTCGTGGTGATGCGCGCGTTGATGCTGAATCCGCAGGTGGCAATTGTGTCCTGTTCGAGCTCGAGTTCTTGCAGCGTCGCGCCGCCAGCAAACTTCAGCTGCGATTGCACAACGTCAATGCCAGTCACTTGGTGGGAAGACTAAAGGAGGGAGAAGGAGAGGAAGGACATGATGGAGGAAGTGTAAGTGAAGTGGGGAGGAATGAAGCAGACCAGTGCGCTACAAACGTCAAAGTGGGCAAAGTACCATCGACAGTGCTGCTTCAACAGACCACCACAGCTCACAATTTCCGTGAAAGTGTGCTCGACTTGGATGCGCAGGTTCACCTCCATGAAACAATGGCTGCACCACACTATTGCGCACGTTGGGTGGTTGATGTGAGCGTTGGGGCAGGTGCGATTATGTTTGTCAACACCAAAACAGTGCATGCACGCACCACAACACAACATCTACATCTCCACCCCCAACACCACACCGGCTCACCGGCCATCGGATGTGTCCACGAGGAACTCGACGGTGCCGGCGTTGCGGTGGTTGAGGGAGTGGCCAATGGCTACAGCGTCCTGAACGCAGGAGAGGGGGGAAGGGAGAGGGAGGGAAGTAGCAGACGTGAGAGAGAGAGAGAGAGGAGAGGAATAGGGGTTGAGTGACGATCACAGGTGAGGTGCGTTTGTCGTGACCGCAGCACAAACACAAGCACGAGCACACACACACATGCACATGAGGCAAACCTGGCAGAGGTGTTGGCGGACATCGGAAGGCAGCGTGGGGAAGAGGCAACCTTAACAACCCTGAAAACACAAATGGGATGCGCGTGCATGGGCATGGGCATGAGCGCGGATGTCGGTGGTGATGAGTGTTGTAGATCACAGCAGATGCACGCTTCTTAACCCTTCTTAACCACACACACACACACGCACACACTTTTGCTCCTTGGCGATGCAGACAACGTCGTCGGCAGTGAAATGGGCGGCAATGCGGGCTTTTGTCGGGGGTCAGCATGTACGATTCATCAGCCTTGCAACGGTGCATAGATCTGTGACAAGAAAGGAAGCGTTGCAGGCCAGTGAGTGAGTGAGTGAGTGAGTGAGTGTGTGTGTGTGTGTGTGTGTGTGGAGGGGAGATGGGAAGGGACGCAGGATCGAGTGTGGGGAGAGAACGATCGAAAGACAGGCAGTCACACACTCACACACACACGCACACACCTGTGTTTGAGCAGTGTATTCTTCGGTCACAAGTGTCTGCCTCCCTCACATATGTTCAATTCACGCCCTTCTTTTGCACTGCGTGATAAAGCCGTGGTGGGGGGTACAACACAGCAAGACACCGACATCGTGTGCCGTGTGTGCTCTGTCCTTGTTGGTCCAGTGATGAGCTGATGAAGGAAGGGAAGGCTGAGTGGAAGGAAGCATGTTGGATGGAAGCCTGAGGGATGATGGATGCGTTTCATGTCAACGTGCTTCATCCTTCCCACAACAACACAACACAACAACAGTGAACTTGCTTGTGTGTGGCTGGAAATCCAATCCAACAATCGTCCACAACCACAACCAGCCAAAACGCCACAAACAACAAACAACCACCAATCCTGCTGTCTTCGTTTCTCTTGGTGCTGCGCCTGTCCTGCAAACAGACACACGAACGAGGAAGGAGGGAGGCACAGTTAACTTCTACTTCTGTTCTTTCCTTCTTCTCCTCCTCTTCCACTCTTCTTGTGCGATGAGAACGATGGGGTGCCTGCAGGCACACAGAATGCTGCTGCTCCCCGTGCTGCTGGTGGCGGTGGCAGTAATGTGTGACCGAATGTTGCGTGGAAATGCACGAGGCAGCGTGGAGAAGGTGGTGGCGGGGAACGAGAGCGACACGACGTCAGACACGAGAGGAGGAAAGGTGCACCAGCACAAGCTGGGGGTGATGGAAGAGAGGAAGACGGACATGAGCATGTGTCGTTGGAGTAATGTGTGCGTATGCGTTTGCGCGTGTTGCGCAGATAAGGCTGAGCAATGTAATGCAATGCAATGCAATGCAATGCAATGCAATGACCTCTCACTCACTCACACACACGCACACTCCTGTGGATGAACAGGTCGTCTTCGGTCACGATGCCTGTCTCCTTGACATGTGTTCAACTCACGCCCTTCTTTTGCACTGCGTGATGAAGCCGTGGTGTGGGTACAACGCAGCAAGACACCGACATCGTGTGCCGTGTGTGCTCTGTCCTTGTTGGTCCAGTGATGAGCTGATGAAGGGAAGGCTGAGTGGAAGGAAGCATGTTGGATGGAAGCCTGAGGGATGATGGATGCGTTTCATGTCAACGTGCTTCATCCTTCCCACAACAACACAACACAACAACAGTGAACTTGCTTGTGTGTGGCTGGAAATCCAATCCAACAATCGTCCACAACCACAACCAGCCAAAACGCCACAAACAACAAACAACCACCAATCCTGCTGTCTTCGTTTCTCTTGGTGCTGCGCCTGTCCTGCAAACAGACACACGAACGAGGAAGGAGGGAGGCACAGTTAACTTCTACTTCTGTTCTTTCCTTCTTCTCCTCCTCTTCCACTCTTCTTGTGCGATGAGAACGATGGGGTGCCTGCAGGCACACAGAATGCTGCTGCTCCCCGTGCTGCTGGTGGCGGTGGCAGTGTGCTGGATGCCATCCATCCTCAGCGTTGTTGGAGAGGTGACGCTGGTGGAGGATGATGCGGGCGCGCTTCACATCAACACGAGCAATCCAATGAGCCAGCCAGTGTTTGTGAATGGCGTGAATGTGCATGAGACGCTCAGCACGCTGTTGCGGACAGTCTCAATGCAGCAGAGCACGATCGATGCACAGCAGGGTATCAATGCTGCACAGCAAAGCACTGTCGAGCGGCTGTGTCGTCTGGCAAGACCAAGGGCCTGGACGTTTGGGCAAGTTGGTTCAATGGGTGCAAAGTGGCTGGGTGGCGCTTTGGCGAACAACGGCCTGATCTATGCCGCACCTCGGAACTCGCCCTCTGTGCTCATCATCGACCCCGCCACCAACACTGTCGACACAACAACAATCTCCGGACTTGGAACGGACAACTACAAATGGGCTGGTGCAGTGCTGGCACACAACGGCCTCATCTACATGTTCGCTTCAAACAGGGAGACGATGCTCATCATTGACCCAGACACTAACACCTTTGACACGTCAAGCATCGACTCACTTGATTCTGGTAGCCTCAAGTGGTACAGTGGTATGGTGGCAAGCAACGGCCTCATCTTCGGCATCCCGTATTCTGCAACCTTGGTGCTGATCATTGATCCAGAAACAAACACAGCCGACCTCACCACGCTGTCTGGGCTCCCGAGCCAGACGAACAAATGGTATGGCGGAGTGCAGGCAGGCAACGGTCTTATCTACTGCATTCCGGCATCAGCTTCCTCTGTCCTCATCATCAACCCAAAGTCTCTGACAATAGACCTCACCACCATCAGCGGCTTCGATACAAACGCCAAGTGGTATGGCGGTGTGCTTGCACGCAGCGGCCTGGTTTACACGATCCCATACCAGTCTGCGACGATGCTCGTCATCAACCCAGCCACCAATGCCACCGACAAGGTTGTTGCAGATGCGACGGGCTTTGAGAAGTGGGTTGGCGGTGAACTCGCACCCAACGGCAACATCGTTGGCATTCCATTCGACTCCTCATCCGTCCTCATCATTGATCCATCTACAAATGCAATCGACGTCACGTTAATCAGCGATCTTGCTGGGAGCCACAAGTGGTACGATGGCATACTCGCACCAAACGGCCTCATCTACGGCATTCCACATGATGCCGAGTCAGTCCTCGTCATTGACCCGGGGTGCTGATGTGTATGTGTGTGTGTGCATATCTGTGTGTGTGTCTGTGTGTGTGTGTGTCTGTGTGTCTGTGTGTCTGTGTGTGTGTGTGTGTGTGTGTGTGTGTGTGTGTGTGTGTGTGTGTGTGTGTGTGTGTGTGTGTGTGTGTGTGCGCGCGAGCACATGTGTGATCAATCTTCGGTTCTTCATCAATCTGTATTTTTTCTTGTGAGGCCTCAGCTGTGTATTGAGATCCGACGAAGTACAAACTGACCACACTCACACGCAGATAGTCAAAGTCAAGGAACGGGACAAGAGTGGGGACACTCGTGTTGGGGGCGCCACATTGTGAACGTGGTGGTGGCATTGTGGCTTGCCTTCTTGCTGCTTTGCTTTGCGTGTGAATGCCGTTGGTTTCTTGCGTGCTGCCGTACCATACATTTGACAAATGCGAAACGAGCGTGTACTGGAGAGGATGACGGGATTTGCAAGCAGCACGAACACATACTCACAAGAACACACTCGCCTACTTGCACATGGACACGGGGCACACTCAAACGTGCATTTGAACAGCTTCAGGGTATCTGAACAGCCAAGCATGAGAATAAACAGTTGCATGATCACCACACCACAATAGACAGCATGCATCACTTCGTGGTTGTTGTTGTTGTTGTTGTTGTTGTTCTTCTTCTTCTTCTTCTTCTTCTTCTTCTTCTTCTTCTTCTTCTTCTTCTTCTT